TGTGCTAAAATAAACCAGGTAACAAACATTTGGTAGGTAGAACAACAGTAAGAATATTGGACTGAAGCTGTACTAAAATAAGATGATGGTTTAAAACAAGGAAATTCTTTTATTAAGGATTTATCGTAGAACAGATCTGTAAACAATATTATTTTTTCAACCTTGCTAGTCATACTGAAACACGCGAAAAAGAACGGTTTCTTTATACACAATGCCTAAAAGCTGTTGTTCAGGTAGGTGAGACGAACCGGTACCTTTCGGTCCATATCTCCCAAACTGGGAGAAAGGACATCGGGATGAAAAGTACATCAACTAAAGCATGCTTGAAACGAAAAGATGCAAATTGTCTCGCGCAACATGGTGCCAATCAGGAAAAACGGTTTAGAAGACAGATATGATATAATCGCTATGGTAAGAAGGAAAGGATGGATAGAACTTGTGGAAAAACAACAATGTAGAAATAAAAATGGTAACAAAGGATCATATAAATTTCTTTCTACAAGAACAGCTTGAATAGTACAGTGAAACAGAATCCTACTGACTACTTTGGAATCACGGTAAAAAAATAGCTATGCCAGGCCAACTTCCCTTAGTAGAATGGGGATACAAGCAATGGAAATATAATTCACTTTATATTTTCTATGCAAAAACGAGTTCCTCAGAACGGAAAAAGAATTTCTCAATTTTACAATGACACTATATAAAAAGAAAAAACGACAAATAAATTCGTGAATAATAGCATTTTAAGCATGTAACTGATTTGTAGCACTTCTGCCATAAGTGCAGTGCTATAGACGAACGAAATATAGCAACGTAGGGAACCAACGATAGCATAACCGATTCTTTACAATGCACATTAATCGCAGACTGACACCTACGCATCACAAGCAAAGATATGGTACTAGTCTGTCGGTGCTGTTTCAAGAATGACTTGAAGTTAGCAAGCAGAAAGTAAATCGAAAGGAAAGTGACAGCTAATTAAAAATTAAAAGGTTTCTAATAGCGTTAAAATGCATTTGCCTTTTGCAATTATTCCACTTTATCTTTTTATGTAGCTAAGTTTGACGAGTTTTGAGGAATTTTACTAATTAAGTTACGCAGAAAATTTTTCACAAATGAGGCACATAAAAAACAATCATTTATTACTAGTGACTTACAGAAAAGAGCAAGGAATCAACGGACTTTCTGGCGGAATGTTGTCGTCTTCAAAATGCTTGTCGCAGAAGTCGAAATTCTGAATCTCATTCAGATCGATGCACTCTACAAACCACGAAAGACAGCAGAAAATTATCTGCATCAGGAGTAATTGAAGAAATGATGCCATAGCGATGAGGAAAAAGGCCTTTCCGGAGTCGAATCAAGATTCCAGAAAATTCCACCTTGGGTCAGTTAAGGTGCTACAGACGTCCCACTTTGATTGGTAGGTACTCTTTATTCTGAATGCACCTTTCTATGCTTAACTTAGCTCATTCAATCGTCAGCTGTTCGTATTTGGTTAAAGATTTCTTTCTTGTAACCATAACATTTAGGCATACGACGTTCTCTTTGAGCAGTTAGCATCTTTTCTTATGGCTCATTAGGTAATTGCAGCGCATTTTCGGTGATGCCTCCGATGCCATTTGTCAAGCTGTTTGATGGCATCAGCACTCTCTGGAGTCAAGCCGAAATAAAGGTTTTTCCTGAAGTCTAAGAGATCATCTGGAACAATGCGATGTCTTGGATCGGCGATAGTCGTTGGAATGTACAAGGGTGTATACGTTATGCAATTCACTTCTCTCGGTTCAGTTTTTGTATTAGGTTTGCGGCCAGATCGATTAGCTCCGCGTTTCGTTTCGCCTCGCATTCGTAAGCTAGCGAAGTTACTTTTGTCGGTGGTCGATATTCATGTGCAGTGTCTTTGTGTGTTGAGATGACGACGCTTGAGGACCGAATTCTCGGTGGGAAGCGCGACAACTATTGCAGTTGTAGCGAATCAGATGACGAGGACGAGACCTCCTCTGGTGGTGTCGATCGTTCCTCGCTTGCCACTGCAGGCTGCTGTACAAAATCGTCAACAAGCGGTAAAGCGGTCACAAATGTAAGAGTCGTTTCGTTTTTAGCGTGGTCTTTTTCATGTTTATCTTTTCTTGTTTCTGGTTGCTAAAGGAAAGTTTCTTGCCGTTGGAATATCAGTCTCCCTTTAAGTCCGTGGTTAGGCACTATTTGTACCACTGTTCTTTCATACTGCAGCAGTCAGCTAGGATCAGCTGCAGCTCGGCGGATTTCCTTGCTGGCACGACCGGAGGTACCTGCCACCTGCATAAGGGACTGGAAGAGCATTCCGCGTATAGTTATAAGAATTCGGATTATCTTCCAGCCACATTTACGACGGGAAGTATTTTACACGAGCGGTTGGTCACTGTCGATTAGTATTTAAGAAGTAAATGAACGGTAAAATGGATTAGTCAAAGTTGTGAATTCACAATGAGGTTGATGTGAGATCCAGCGATTAGACTGGAGTTGTTCAGTCGGTAGAGCGGGAGGTCCTGGGTTCGAGACCCAGTCGGATCACTCGCCTTTCTTTCTGACGTTTATAAATGACTACCACTCTGGGAAGGAAGCAGGAGACTGCACACTTTACTCGCCACATAGTTGCTGTCGACTCTGATTTTAGAAAAATGGGACACTCCTGAATGATGGCATGAAAATGGTGATCAGAGCCTTATCAAGAAAAGAATTACACCAAAAATGAGAAATACCCGTTTCTTGCAGTTGTACTTGTCGCTCCGGTATTCTTCCGTGAATAATGTATTTTTGGCAGTTCTTTCTTGGTGCCAACTTTCTTGAACTATGGCCTTCTTCTCCACATCCTTGAACTAGCCCGTCGAGGCCAAGAATGGAGGAGCTTGCTGAGCTTTTGGTCGCGGGACGGTTTACTCAACAACATCGGACCTCACCGTCTCCAGAGTGAGCCGGAGATTGTTTTCTGTGGTATATTCAGCTGACTGACTGTGCAGAGAGATATTGTAATTCATTTGATAGAAACGACTGTGAAGATGAACAGCTTAGAATCCCTTCTTTCTGTTCTTCGGTGCAATTTCAAAATGGCAGGATATCGAATCCGAATGATCCGGTTTTAGCACAGCTACTTTTATCATCTGAAGAGTCATATTTTACATGGCTTCCTGCTTGTTTCGCAAAAGCGCATATACAGCGAATAGATGCTACAAACCTTTCTGCCAGCACTATATCAGCGCATGTAATTGCACTGCATTGTGGCTGCAGATCACGTTCTCGATTCACAAAAA